GGTTAGCTTAATGTCTTAAAAATTGACTGAGTCATAGTTATTTTTATATTGCTTGGTTTAGTTTAGTTAGCTGTGGCAGCCATCTTGAATGAGTTTAATTATCAGGTGTAGATGTACACCAAATACTTCCTTTCTGAACATTTCATTGGACTATGTCTTGTAGTTCATAGGGTATGTTGCTAACAGACAGACAGACTTRATTCTAATAGTTAATGGCAAAGCTTAAATTAAGATTGTGTGCAACTGGTTACTGCTCAGAGTAATACTTGAGGATGGGTCTCAGCTACTTACTAGGGTTGGGCGATATTAGCAATAAAATTAATCACGATTAATTGTGGTGTTTAACCGACAACGATTAATTTGACGATTAATCCCCTGGAGTCCCTGGACACCCTTATGTCCTAGTCACATGACCAATTTAGTGGGACAGATTTGCTGTTCGTAAAAAACTTTTTCAAACTGTGTCAAAATCACAGACTTCAAATTTTAAATTGTGTTGATAAATAAATTACAGAAATTTTGTTTAAATGTTCGTTATATTTGAAGTGGAGAGGAGCACCGAGCAGACTCTGCCTGGTGGCTTTAATCGTATTAATCGTCAAGTGCCAAAAAATAATCGATTAATGTTTTTCTGACGATTAATTGCAGACAGTACGATTATGCCCAACCCTACTACTTACACATCCAGTTTTAGCTTAACTGACTGGGTCATAGCCAAGTTTGTGTTTGCAAAAAACGACAAACTGATTTGAATTGAGTTGACTACAAACTTGTAGATGTACAGCCACTGACTACTTTCTAAGAGTTTCCTTAAAATCTGTCCATCGGTTCAGGAAATATTTTGCTAACAGATAACTGCACACACAAACAAGGACAAAAGCTATTACTGCCCACTTTTCACATTTTGACAGAAAGAGATAAAGACCAACTTCAGCAACATTTTCTTAATTCTTCCTGTGTGTATGGGAGGTTAATTAGCTGCAGGATGTCAATGACGCTCAAGTGGATCAGCTTTAAAACCTCTTAGCTTTTTTGATGACTTTTATGATAATCTTGCTCATCTATCGAGGACGGTTTGTCCCTCCTAAAGCCAATTTATCTTTTTTTTGTCTTTAGCCTCCATGTTTGAGGAAGCCTGTATTGTTTCCCTTCTGGTGGTTAAATCTGATTACATTTCAGTTTGCACATGTGACTGTCTGGTGGATGACAGGCTTACTGTTCTCAATCCCATCCCAGCCCCCTTGACCACTGGTGACCAAGCCATTTAAATAAGATCATTATCCCCTGTTCTTAGCAGCCGAATGACAAGAAATGACTTTGAGTTATCAAGGAATGTTAGAATGGGAACAGATGGAACAGAGTTGGACTGGTGTTCATCAACACCTGGTAATCTGTATTGTTAATTACACAGAGTTGTTTGTTTTCCTCCCCGGAATGAGACAGAGACTTGATAAAATTCCTCAAAGGAATGCATATCACCCGCTGATTTTCATTCCAGACTTTTAAATTGAGATTATCTTCTGCTCAGAAATAGAGCTAGGCTTTGATGCAAGAGGTGGCTAAGAACAGCCAAGGCTTTTTCAGGGTGACAGAACAAACAAAGTAAACTATTCTGTTTGTTGAGCCTAGTACCTATGTTGGAACATAACTTCCTGACAGTTTTAGATTAGTTGGTAACTCTGGATTTGCGACCTGTCCAGGGTGTACCCCACCTCTCGCACAGTGACTGCTCAACATAGACATGAATGAACTGGAAATGAGAAGCCAGTATAGATAATGGCTGGACGGAAAAATTGGATAAGTCATAAAATATTTGTGTCTTTACAAAGTGAATATACAAACCCATAATGATGTGTTCTCATTTACATTAATTGTGCATCTTTGCCAAATGCAGTGATGTTCATGAACTGGGGTGGCACATTGAGTGGCCAGTTAGATTTCAGGAATGATGAGTACCACATGAGTTCACATGCAATCAGTGCTCTGAGTATGTGTTGTACTGTATGTGACATTCGACTGCTACCCTACTACTATGTCAGGTCAATAAAGTGGCTAAACTAAAGCCATTTTTGTGTTTTCTAAGGTCATCCTGCTGTGGTGGCCATATGAATTAGTTGTGGATGATTAATTTGTGAGTTGTTGCTTAGCTTTCCCTTGTTGCCCTTTGGTGGCAGATGATGATCATGGATCAACACATTTCTTCAGGTGAATTCTTCTTCATACATCTGTAGGACTCTGACTTGTTAGTCACAATGTGGCTCTGCCTTTACCCATGACGTGTTTTTACTGCTTTACCTAATTAAAGCACCGTTCACAACTAGAACACAGTTTTATATACATAAAAACAACAACTGTAAAACAAGTGACTGATGTTGTAAAAAAATGCTCAGTGGAAAATTAAGAATTAGTTTCTGTTTGTAATCACAGAGGCTGTTTTTGTTCTGTCTCTTGTTAATGTGGGATTCAGTTCAAGGTTAATATTTTTGCCACCCAGTGGCTGCTTTGGTGTATCAACTATTGTGCAAGTTGTTTTCTAATTACCTCTAAAATCAGACAAAAGCTTGAACTGAACAGGTAAACAGTTGATCTTTTAGATATTTTTCTCATAAGATAGCAAATTATAATTTAACCTGATAATGTTTAAAAGTGAGTCAGGCGCTTGAAATAAATTCAAGTGGAAAAAACACACTTTTTGTGGAAAAGCTGAGTGAATACTGAGAACTGAATGACTTTATTTATTGAAGAAGCTGAAATTAAWTTGTTAGTTAAAACAGTCAGAACAAAACCTAAAATTAACAAAAACTCAAATTAGTTAAAAAAGCTAAATACTAAAAGGAGAAAAAAAGGAGCTAAATCATCAAAATGAAGTATATTGCAGATTTCAAAAAGTCCTGTGTTTTTTAGAGATTTGAAGATTTTTTTATTTTTTATAAGATAGTAAATAAAGTTAAACCTAACTTTACATAAAATACAAGATTTACTAAATAAATCATAACTATAATTTTCTAAACTAGCTGAACATTTTAACATCTAAAAAATTAAATTCACACTTGGCAAGCTAAAAATAGGTTGAAATAGTTAGTTTGAAAAAACCTATAGGCAGAAGAAACTAATTCAGACAAAATATCCTGAAAAAAGTCATGAATGTTAGGACCAAATTCCAATCAATTTTGTAAAAAAAAAAAAAAAAAAAAAAGGTAAAAAATATTTTTACAGATGTGAATCTTGGGAACAACTCAGAAATCATCCAAAACATTAAGATTTATTTWAAAATGWCATCARTGCTTGCTTGATTATTTWGCACATGTTAACAAATTTCACAGGATGAACAGGGATTTTGTAAAAAATTCTAATACTCCAAAGACAAAGGTTAATCTTCTGGTGATCATGAAAAAATGTGAGTAAAATCACCTAACAGTAGTTCATTTATTAATTTGGACAAAAGTGGACTATTTGACTGACAGCCACAGAGCCATTTCTAATTTGATTGTTATTTTTTCACAAGAAATCTTTCACTTTAATGCAAAAATGAATAGTGAGACAGTATGAGGTCTGGATTTGATAACATATTTTAAAAGTGTCAGCCAAAGCTGCACTTGTGGTTTGAGTACTTCTTGTTCAGTGGGAGCCTGAGCTCAGTAAGCCCTCCAGGAGGACCCACAGTGTACCATTGAGGTGGTTTTCAATAGCCTATATCATTCTAGAAAGATAAAAAGCTCTGGTGTGGGGTAGTCATTTTCAGTGCAAGAATTAAAGACAAATGATTGTTCTTGCACTACCTTCCCTCCTCCACCACCTTATCCTCTTATGATTATGATCAATTATCCACTCGTAATTAGAGCCTGGCAGTAACTCAGCTTATGGGCTCTGACATTTTATGTAATAGCCTATAATAATGTTGTCAGTCACATTTCATATAGTCAACGCACTCGGGCAGGCTTCCCATGAAAATTTCTTTTTATGTTTCACAGGTTTTGTGATGGGAATTTAGTTGTCGGTTTTTCCTCTGAAATACGTTTGTCATCTTGATCAATAAAGCTGTCCTCATAAAAGATGTTTAACTGAGCCGACAGGTATAACTGAAGCACCTTTAACCCAATGATTACAGCATAAATGTGCAGTGCAATACAGCTGAGTGTACAAATTCTGGCAGCAGCACAGATTGTGTTTGCAGGCACTTTCCTTGTTAGTGAACATAATAAAGGTGGAATGAAAGATGTCTGTGTGTGTCGATCTGTACTCCTCTCTCTGCTTGACTYGCTCCTTGACCCCATTCAGCTCCAGTTTGAGAAACACAGAAAGGCAAACTGTCTGAAGAGCCACTTCCTGTTGTGTACTTGAGATCCCTGTCATGTGATAGTGTCAGTTGAGATGGGTGCGCGAGGCCAGAGTGGGGAGGGAATATGGTGGTAGTGCTGATCTTGCTGATGTGAACAGAAATGCCCCCTCTCCTCCACCACCACTCCCCCTCAGCTACCACCCCGATTGTGTAAAGTGTCGAATCAGCTGCTGTGGCATCACCACGGCCCCCCCTTGTCGTGCGTCGCTCAAGCACAATCACAGTTTAAACACACATATACATCAATAGCAGTGTGTACCTAATGCACAGGATAATAAACTGTCTTAACCTAAATCATTATACCTATTTTATAGCTGGGTATATATCTGTTTATTGAACAAGTTATACTGTAAATAAGGTAACATACTGGTACTTGACTTTAAAGAAATAAATTTTGCCTTAGCTATAAAAGTACAATATTATGGTTTCACAAGTACCACACTGCAAATGCAGTTTCTGAAAAGTAATCCCCTATCATGGGTTCTTATTTACCTGCTATTTAAATCATCTTTAAATTATCTGTAAGGTGGATTAATGATATGATGCACTTTGATCCACATATTTTCAAGTAGCAATTTGTCTAAGACCAAATATTTCTAAAATAATGATAATTTTACAAACATTTTTCTCACCTTTCTCTCTGTCTCTTTTAACTTTGCAGGTTCTGCCATAAGGAGCTCACTGTGATCATAACTGAGGATGAAGGAGCCAACAAACTGAAGAGCTGAAGTGTTGTGGATCAGCTTCTCTTGTACCTCTTAACTTTACTCAGCTGATATGATGATGGCACTGAGTGTCCGTGTCATTCTGGCAAAAAGATGCAGTCTCACTTTATTATCCTAGTCAAGGCCAGTGTTTGTCTAAAAAACGTTAATGATATGCAGCTTTCTGTGATTTACCTCAGTGAAGAGTGTGGCATCCAGTAAGTGGGCTTGATTGATCATCAGATGATTGAAGGCTCATAAGGTTTTAGCTGACGAGCTAAAAGACAAAAAACATCCCTAGATGTACATCCGCAGATAGCAGAGTTTTAAAGTGTTGCTAAGTTTGTTAACGACCAGCTACACAGGCTGGTTTCATTTCTATGATGAATCCCAGAGACAGTGTGGAGGTTATGGAGACCGAGAGAGGAGGTCAGAAGGAGAAACTGATGGGAGAGAAAACCAGTCCTGGAATGGAGATGGATGGTGAAGATGACAAAATCCCTGGAACTTACAACTGCAACATCTGTGGACGCAGCTTCCCTTTCCTTAGTTCTTTATCTCAGCATATGAGACGCCACACAGGTTCACGCCCCTACAAGTGCCCCTACTGTGACCACAGGGCTTCTCAGAAGGGCAACCTCAAGGTCCACATCCGCAGCCACAAACTGGGGACGCTGTCCAGCCACCACTCCAATGAGGACGAAGAGGGTGGGGCCGAGGAGGAGGAGACAAAAGTTTCAGAGGGTCTCAATGGAAGCACCAGTCCAACTAAAAGCAGTTCAGCCTGTAACAAGGTGGTCAATGGGGATACTGGTGAAGAAAGCCGCAGGAAAATGCCTGCACGGAGCATGAAGAGAGAAAAAGCCGTGACCAACCAACGGCCTTTCTGTTGCCGTCTTTGTGGCTATGAGGCCCAGCGGGAAGATCAGCTTCTCAGCCATATAGAGAAGGTCCACATAACAGCAGATGCAGAAGATGATACCTTCTCTGTTAAGGAAGATGATGTTACTGAGTCTGATGCCATGCAAGCCCAGGGCGATGGGATGTTCGCCTGTGAGACCTGTGGCCAGGTCTTTACCCAAGCCTGGTTTTTGAAATCACACATGAAGAAACATGCTGGAATACTCGACCACTGCTGTCGAATCTGTGGGAGAAGGTTCCGCGAAGCTTGGTTTCTCAAATCTCACATGAAAACTCACAATACCAAATCCAGATCTCGCTCAAAAGCAGAGTCAGCTGAGCCTCCAGCCACTATCAATGATGTAGCCCAGGATCCTGATATTTTTACTGCCTCTGTTACCTCTGTCTATCAGATGTGCTCCAAATGTGGGAACCTTTTTCACAGCAAAGAAAGCCTCAGAGCTCATGATAAGGTTCACAGTCAGAACTTTGCCAGAAAGTCTCCCATCCGGTTCCGGCCCAGTGATGACGAGGGCTCACCGGCTGCTAAGAGACGTTTCCTTGAATACTTCAACCTCCAGTGTGTTGAAGAAAAGGCTCTTGATGAAGAGGAGGACAATGAGAAAAAGATTCTCGGTCAAAGAATTCTAGAGCTGGATCCAGTTTGTAGCTACCAGGCCTGGCATTTGGCCACAAAAGGAAAGATTGTGGAGCCAGTGGAGCCTAGTTACAAGACCTCCTATGTGGGAGGAAATATGATGGAGGACAGCCCTCCTGAAGCAGCTGTGGTTTTTGAGAGGGAGAGCAGTCAATATGTCCTTCAACGGCAAGAAAAACGAAACTCAGGCAGACGCAGCAACTCAGTGTTGGGGAGTCATACCTCATCCGGCGACAGGACACCAGAGAGCCTTAGTGACTCTGAGTACCGACCTTCAAGTCGCCAAGACAAACGGCGACCATCCCAGTCCCAAGCCTCCTCTTCTAAGGGAAACGAGTGCTTTGAGTGCGGTAAGACGTTCCGCAGTCGTCACCAGATGATTGTCCATCAACGGGTCCACAGGAAGGATGGAGGCAGGGGATCTTTAGAAGACAAGGAGAGAACCACAAGGGACAATCAATGGGGCCCTGCCAGTGATCCGGAGTCAGGCTCCGCCAGCAGACCCAGCACTCCAGGGTACGGAGACTCACCCCCTGCCTCAACCCTGGGAGAACAGGCTTCTGAGATGGGTACTTCAAATTCTGGAGAGCTTGCAGGTTAGTCAAGAAGCTCTTTTTTCCTTCTTTATGCACATTTATGCACATATACAATACAAACTCGATCTCGAGGGACTGACATATAAACCATAAAATATCAGGTTTCCTCACTCAAGAATTTGGAAACTGAAGCTTGTTTACCACTTGCCACCAACTGATTATCAGTATTCCTAAGAAAACAAACTTCTATTATCAACTAATTTATGTAGTTTTGCTGTTCAACTAAGTTTAGCTTTTATAACAGTCACTCACTAACATCATCAATGCTACTACCTTTAGTTATTTTTTATGGTACTGACTCAGCTTTTTAGCGTAAAAGTATATATTGTTACCACCAGAGCAGACTCTGTAGGGTTTTTTCAGTGACAGCCCTTTTTTTCAAGCCTCCAACTTGATGCTGCTCTAACTCCGTAGAAAACATCTGTTAATGAAAGGTGCTTTGTGAAGAAGCGTCTACTCAGCTTCATGAAATGGGAACTGGAGCCACTATGTGGCAAAATCTCAACATTACATCAGTGTGAGCTGCACTGTTGAAAAGGTGCTGCATCCAAATACTGTCGTAAATACATCCTTTGATAACTCTATTTTTTCATTTTTATCTTCAAAAACAGAATAAAGGCATTGGTCAGGATAGAGGATAGCACAGACTTGTTGTGATTGTCTTGTTCTTCCCAGCTGGTACAGATGTTCAAAAATAGCAGCAGCATTTCTGCAGGCCTGATCGAGCTGTGTGCTATTTCAGGTCTTCCTGTCTCAGGAAACTCCCCTCACCCCCTGTGTCTTTGTGTGAATATGAGTGTATTCTCTCTGTTTCAGGTCTTAGTTGCGAAAGTATATATTTTTATGTTTACAACATCCAGCTAATTTATTGTGTGAATGACAATATCAGAAAGAGTAGAATAATTAAAGGACAGTTACTGACACAGAGAGCTCCTTCTCTATCAATGCACAGAATGAAGTCGAGATAACTACTTTTCCTTACCACTATATACAGTATATATATATATATATATATATATATATATATATATATATATGGTAAATGGACTGTACTTATATACACCATTCTATCCATCCAGGATACTCAAAGCACTTTACAATCTGTGTGTTCATTTATCCACTCACACACACTCATTCATCACTAGATCTCTGCAAAGCTAACATGTACAAATCAATCTATAGAAACTAATCAGTGCTTTAAATCACATTCATACACTAATGGGACACATCTGAGGTGGGCAGGTTCAGTGTCTTGCCCAGGAACACTTCCAACATGTGACTGAATAGTGGGGAATTGAACCACCAACTCTCTGATTAGAGGAGGACTACCTTAACCACTCACCCACAGCCTATACATTCAACCAATGTTGTGAAAACAATATTTTCATTTGTTAATCCAATGTAAATAAAAGACCTAGCATTCTTGAAGAAATGCATAAAGTGAAAATTTTGGGGTGCGTGGGAGGAGTTAGCCATGATGGACGATAGCTTTGCCAGCATCTTTCTGTCTGCCACCTCCTCAATAGATTCCAGTGGGCAGCCCCGGACTGAGCTGACTCTCCTAAATGAGTTTGTTAGGCCTCTTCCTGTCACTGTCCATGCTGACCCCACCTCAGGACACCATGGGGTAGAACACTGCAGAGACATCCACAGTGTAATAAAATGTATGGAGTAGAGCCCTGCATAAACTGAAGGATCTCAGTCTACTCAACAAGTGCAGCTGACTTTGGCCCGGGTTCTTAAATGAGTCCATAATCTCAAGGTGTGGGTAGAGGGTTTCCTACGGAAATCAACCACAAGCTCCTTGACTTTGCTAGGGTTTACAATCAGTGGTTCTGCTCACACCAAACCACAAAGTCTGAGATGACCCTCCTGTACTCCTGCTTGTTCTCACAGCCCACAATGGCAGTGTCATCTAAGAACTTCTTCTGTTTGCAGACACTGACGTTGTAGATGAAGTCTGACGTGAAAAGGGCTAAAAAGAATTGCAAAATCAGTGTCTCCTAGGGAAGCCCCCATGCTGCAGACTACTGTCTATATATGACTCAGAGCCCTTCAGACTTACATACTGTGGGCTGTCAGTGAGGTAGACTGTGGTCCACACAGCCAGGTGTTGTTCCACACCAGCCTCCTCCATTTTCCTTCCCAGCAGTGAAGGTTGGATGGTGTTAAAAGAATTGACAAGTCAAAGAACATGACTCGCACAGTGCTCCTGAGACAGTGCCCAGGTAAACAGGTAGGCAACAGCATCATCCCCMCTATTCTAGGTTGGTAAGTGAACTGTAGGAGTACAACACTGATCTGGGTGGACGAGGATGATTCTCTCTATTGTCTTCGTGAGCTGAGAGGTCAGGGCCACAGGCCTAAAGTGGCTGACTGTGCTCCTTCACTGTGAAAGTTGGTGGTTCGATTCTGGTTTTGAAAAACACCCGGAGGCTAATTTAGTTAAAATTGTTAAATATGGTAGTTAATTTTTTCTGTTTATTGTTTCCTAACATAAATATTGCTCTGGAATTAGCTTCTTGTTTGGGACATGGAAACACACCCTGCTTTTTGAACAAAGCTTGAAACGCATCTTTGAAACAGCCTACAGTTAGTACAGTATGTTATAATCTATTTATTTAACTGTCTGTTTCATGCGTACATGTTTTAATATGCTTGTTTTTCTATRTTTATTAAACTTTTAACCATTACCTTATTGAATAGTTACGTTTTAAATGTTTTTTTTGTGATTTAATTTGTTCAGCCCTTGTGTTAAAAAAGTGTCATATAGATGAAGTTGCATCACTTACAATTTTTGCTGTTACATACAGCTCAATATTTACCATCAAATTTCCACAAGAAATCATCAAAACATTAAAAAAACTTAACAGAAGAAATGCTCCTCACTTGGTTCAAGAGCATTTTTAAGCAAAAGTTGCATTTTTAGAGCATTAATATGTTATAGTTTTGTCATTTATTTGAGTCTTGTGTTTTACTGGTAATTTTCTGTTAGGTAAGCCAAAACGTATTTTATTCTAGGATAAAGTTTCTACAAATATAAATTGATTCTAGAGGATATCAAAATAGCAGACAACACTGCCCCCAGGTGGCTGTTTACTGAAACTACATCTTGATGAAATTACCTGACTGTCAGAGCTGGCTGAGGTGCAGCCCTCTCTGTTAGTGAGAAGTGCTTAGAAACTGTTTGTTCTGATCTTTATTGTTTTTCTGCCCTACAGATGAGAAGCCCTACATCTGCAACCTGTGTGAGTTTGTCACCACAGATTCTCAAGCATATTTCACTCATGTTGATGTCCAGCACCCAGCTGCCACCAAAGACACAACCAGCCCTGTTCCCAGCTTCACCTCCAGCTTGGACAAAGGCACCCCCAGTGGTTACCCCAAACTCAAGAACACTTTGATTCAGGGGCTTAAAAAGTCATCTCATGCTTACCTCTCAGCTCGTTCCTCCCCCAGTGATCCCAACATGATCCCTGTTGATCTGTGTGTAAGGGCTGGGGGCATTAGGGACATGAACTCCCTACCTTTAGACAGGAAAAGCCTTCCTAGCCACAAGTGCTCCTTCTGCTCTCACTCCACCCGCTACCCCGAGGTGCTCTGGATGCACCAGACTGTGGCTCACCGCATCAACAGCAGTAGCTCCAATCTAGCTCCTAAGTGGGCTGTTAAAAACAACTCAAAGGGCTCCAGAGATGGCTCGTTTTCCTCCCGGAGACGGACCGGACCGCCACCAGTTCTGGAAGGAAGGGAGTGTCCACCACTGCCTCCGCTGATGCGCACGCAGAGAACACGGCCTCCAGTCTGTTCCAGCGAGGTTCCAAAGAAGAGCAGGCCAGTTAGTCATGCATCTTCTTCATCATCTGCTCCCTGTGCCTCCTCCTCAAGGAGCTCCACGTCTACTTCAGGTAGCCAAGCTGGGCGAGCCCCAGTACGGCCAGTCAGCAGCACCGTCAAACACAGAGAGGATCACAACCATCGCTTCAGACCCAAGGGGGAAGCGCACTCTCGAGGAAGCTCTCTGGCTTCGTCAGGCTCTGTGGAGAAGAACATCAGTAGCCACTCTCGCTCCTCGGCGCCGAGCCCCATCTCCGCTGCAGCTTCCAGGATTTCCGACCGGTACGTGATGCCTCAGGAGGGCCTGGGCTTCATGCTGTCCAGCAAGCACAGCTTCTCAGCAGACTACAGCCGAGCTCAGGGCTTCTCTCATCAGCCAAGCTCCCACAGTCAGGGTCGGCCCAACCCCTCCAAGCCTAGCACCGTCACTCATAGTTCAGCCATGAAGCAGAGCTGTGGCACCGCTCGTACACATGGAGGCTCTGTGCCGAATTTTTCCTCCCCCTCTTCCTCCTCCTCCTCCACTTCCTCCACTTCAATAGCTTCAGACAGTCGTAAAGAGGTGAAGCAGGAGCCAATTGCAGCAACACCAGAGATGCCAACAGATATCCTCAGCTTCCTCAAAAACTACAGCCCCCATGAGCTGGCAGCCCTGTACCACCGCTGGGGTGCAGCCAACGTCCTGATGGAACCCACAGGTATGGACCGCTTCTCATTTGCAGCTTTTTTCTCTGTTCATTAATGGTACGAATTAAAAGCATTTAAGTACCTGAATACAGTTGAGTTTTTCAAATAGCAGGATGGCTTAGCAGTTACCTCTGTTGTCTCAGCAAGGAAGTTCTGAGAGACTTTCTGAGGGAGTTCCCATGTTTGTGGGGGTTCCCTTTAGGTACTCTGCTTTCCTCCCACAATCCAAAAAAAAATGCATGTTTAGTCTGCCTTTAGGCCCATGACTCCTTTAAAAAAGAGATCTGTCCTCTTTTTTATTTTCTCCTTATCTAGGTACCTTAGAAGAAACTCAAATGTAAAAAAATCAAAATGTGCAGCTTGATTGGGAATAGTGTCCTATGACTTCAGTACATAGCATTATGCTGTACAATGGAGAAGATATTTACAAAAAAAGAAAAAAAACAGCAAACAATGTAGTTTACACTGCAAAGCTTTTTCTGTGAAACAAAAAAAATGGAGTGGAGGGTATCTGGTTTGGGTAGCTCAAGGTCTTGTCTCTGGTTTTTGTGAATGATTTGGTTTTGGTGGTGTCTTCGGTCCAAGAGCTTTACCATGCGTTGGAGCGGTTCACAGCCTGTGAAGTCAGCTCCTTTAAGTCTGAGGCCACGGTGGAATGCCCCCTCCGGGTCTGGGGGAGTCTGCCTCAGTTGTAGTAGTTAGATATCTGGGTGTCTTGTTCTTGACTGATGGYAGGATGGAATGGGACACTCTCAGTAATGAGAGCGTTGCTTCGGTCAGTTGTGGTGAGGAAAGAGTTTAGTCGACAGTCTCTTGATTTACTGGTTTGTCCACGTTCCAACCCTCACCTGTGGTCATGAGGCTTGGGTCATGACTGAAAGAACAAGATCCAGGGTTCAAGTGGATGAAATGCGCTTCCTTCTTAGGATGGAAGGATCCCGCCTCAGAGACAGGGCAAGGAAATCCTTCRTTCGAGGGAGAAGCTTGGAGTAGATCCGCCGCTCCTTCGGATCAGTTGTATATTTAGAGTGCATCCTGGATGCCTTCCTGCTTCCCGTTGAGGTTTTTCAGGCACATCCCAATAGCAAGAAGCTCCGGGACAGAGCCAGAACTCACTGGAAGGTTTGTGCATCTTCTTTGGCATGGGAACGTGTCAGGTTTTCCCAGGAGGAGCTGGAGAGTGTTGGTGGGTAGAGGGATTACACAGTGAGATCTATAAAAGAACGTTTTTGCATGTAGGAATTTTGGGGCGTAGCTGCGTTAGCAGCGTTTGGAATTTCTTCAAAAATGTTCTAGTTATTTTATTAATACAGAAAAGAACAGTTTACAGAACGTTCGCAATCAGTTTTGGAGAAATTGTTTTAGGAGTTTAGGAGACATTTTGAAATTCCTGATATTTTGATAAATCAGCATCTTTTTGGGGGGCCCTTTGAGTGAAATTAAAGGTGGTCTGATGAACATTAGCTATATGAGTTAGTGTGTAGCACCTGGCCCAGAGTGACTAACAGGTTCTTCATACTTGAAGAATAATTAGATAATTAATTTAATAAACAAAAACACACTTGTGCTTTCATATGTCCCAGGTTGTATGTGGGGCAGCACGTGTGTCCATATGTGCCTGAGCTTTTAAATGCAAAACTACTAAGTATTTTTTATTATTTTTACAGTGAAAGACATGAGAGAACCTTTGCGTCTCTCAGGTCTGCGAGGCATGCCTGGACTGCTGCTCTACTCTCCCAGAAAGCTGTCACAAACTGTTTAGGTCACAGCTCTGCCTGACGAGATGCGAATATGAGGAGAGCAAAACAGGAGAGGCAAAACGAGAGCAGAGACAGAATAATTACCCCACCAGCTGCGTTGCAAATGGTCATTACCGAACATCCGTATTATTCACCCATTTTCTGTTGTGTCATCTGAGGTCAAGTGGGCCTGTATGGAGCCAGGGGTCAAAGACAACAACCCCTTGAGCGGACGCATGACATCGCTGTCACCCGTCCAGGCACATATCGTCACCATCCGCCTTAGCCCTTTGAGTCACATGCTATAAAGTGACCTTTTTTTGAGCAACTGAGTCTTTTCCCCGTGTCTCTGTGTACTATGTGTGCGAGTGTGTGTTGGACTGCTTGTGTTCTCTGTCCAGCTCTGTCTTGTCTTTCATTAGTGCGTCAGAGAGAAGGGCTGGCGGCCCACAGTAGAAGTAGAATATCCAGAGGCCAGCAGTCAGGCTGCCAGAGACACTCTCCGTCACCTCTTCTACCTCCCTGTCCTCCTTCTTCCTGCTCTCCTGCAGCAGAAAAGTAGAAAAATGCAGGAAATCCCTGTGCAGATTAATGCACAGACTGAGATGATCAGGTTCACTGACTTTATTCATTGTTTTAGAGTATTGAGCTTAGCATTTAAACAGCCCTGTTTGGATTATATCAGTGCAAGTGGGCGTACACCGATCTCACTGCTGGATTTGAGTGGCACATCCTGTGTGTACGACAATGGCTTATACCCCTTAAATAAACTGGAGCAAACTTCACTCGGCTTGATGTTTGTGGTATGGGGTTGGGATGGGGGTGGGAGGCAAGAGCCCAGAGTAGGATAAACGAGGGTGGAAGCAGGTTTTCCTGCAACATTTTGATGTAACGGTCAAGGGATTCACCCCCAAGTTACGCTACATGCAGTTCCGCTCCACTCCGCTGCGTTGTGCAGACCACCTCCATTTGTTTCCACTCCATTTCACACTGCGTTCACTCCGCTTCACTCTGGTGCGAAGCACAGAGGAGGCCCGAGAAGTGTATGCAGGAAATGCGAGATCACGCAATAAATCCAGTGATAAATGTGGAAGTCAGAGCAAATGAATTCATTCTGTTGAAGACAGACTCCAAACACAGCTGAAACTGTATCGCTGTATATATACATACATACATCCACACACACACACACACACACACACACACACACACACACA